AAGATTGAATATGTACGACCGAGTAAAACTCGTAATGAGTTCTACGTCTTACTTGGAAACCGGTGCGCAGTCAAATACGCCTGCACGCTTTGTAATAACGGCGCTCGGACGGAGCGCGTTTTTGCCATTCAGACGGTTCCATTATCGGAAAATTTGCGGCGGACATCGCGCGGAATTGTGGAATTCGCTCGATTGTCCCTCGGTTGCTGTGCTCGTGGTCGAGGGACCAGATTCTAGCGTAAATTCGCGAGAACTTGCGGCATAAAGGCCGGACACGCTTCCGTGGGAAAACATTATTGCAACGAGGATTGCAACACTTGCCACGCAGCGGCCGCCGTCACAGCGCCGTGATATTAGCATCGCAAATTTATATGAAACGATATATGGCCGGATGATTTTTACGCCTGTGCTATGCTGTGACGCAATATCGACGCTCAAACAAACAAACGAAAGGCACTCGCGACGTTGATGAAAAGGTAAAAGTCCAACTGGTCGTTGATTTTTCATGTCATTGCACGAACGAGTTCGGTGCAGTCCGACAAATAGAAACGGGGAGAGTGGATTACTTTTGATCGAGCAGTAACTGCAAATGGTATTTCGTACAGATGGAATCGAGTACCTTTGAGCCTTTCAACCCTTTATATTCCGAAGGTACATCGCTTTATGCGAACACTTGTACCATTTTTACGCGGCAATAATTCCTCATGATACCAAAAAAAAAAATGTGTAAATTTGTGACACTAGGCTAGAAGAATGTTTAAATATTCTTAGTACCATATTCTTAAATAATACAATCTCCCTTTTATATGAATCTTTATTTTTCAAAGTTTTTAATATTCGCATGTCATATTGTCAGAACAAAATGTCTGTTAGTAACTAGATACTCATCCGCTAGACAGACCTCAGGTTCGAAATAGATATTCGAAAAACAGAAATTCAACGAAGACTCAAGCGTTTATTTCCCTTTTCTCTAAAGTTATTTAATGATAGAAAAATTGAATAAAAATGTTAACTTGATTAACCTATGAAACGAAACTTAAATATCGAATTTAACAATTCGTAAGCGAGTTGTATTGAGCCTTAACCTAAATTTCTAATGTTGGATTAATCATGATCATAGTAAATATGATCGCGCCATGGTAAATAGACGCGTGCGCGCCATTTTGAATTTACGACTGCGGAAGTCTCGGAAGCGCGCGAATCTTCAAGGTCTCACGCTTGACACGGGAAAACAATGCGCCATTGCGTGCTATAGCGTCGCTTCCATTGTGATTCAAGCATTCTCTAACATACACGTTACTGCGAAGAAGAGGAGAGCAGAAATCATTCAACTCCGACACGGCAAGTGTCACACGACTATCGATCGCAATGTACTAAACGATGATCGGCTATTTGTTTAGCCTTATCAGAGAGAGATATAACAACATCGCATTGACTTCAAGGAGGTGTTCATTGAATTTTGTTCGAGTTCCACGAACGTGCAACCTCCCACAATAATTCTGCATAGCAATAACTAGAGGCATGTATAGCAATTTTACACTTTTATGAGCACGAGTGAAGAATTAATTAGAAAATTGTTTCGTAGAATCCCTGGTGGGCGGACGAACGAGCACAAGTCAGAATTGTGTCTAGTTTTGCAGAAGAGTGCGCTCGTGATATTGAAATTTGAAGTGCGATGTAAGAGATCAGGTATCGGATTCTGCGTTTCAAAGAGTCCATCATTTTTCTGAGACCGATGACTAGATCGGTGGATTTTTTTATATATCTTTATATCTTCGAGAATTTGAAAAATGGAAATTCGTTTCATCTGCTAAAATAAATACTCTGCCACGTAATCTTTGCATTTCTATTTCATAAGTGCATAAAAATTCACATTGCGTTATTTGTATTAAAATCCTTTTCTATTCGCCAATCAGAAAAACTATTGTTTCCTCATATTTTATATATGCATCTTGTCGTTGTTTGCAAATGGTAAATTTCCCAAGAATCATAAACATCCGTGGTCTAGCAATAACTGTCACACTATACATGAAGTTAATGTACAACTATAACTTTCCGGTCGATTTGTTTTATGTGTCACAAATAAACCAAACCACAGAGACTGCAAGCGCAGCGAATCAATTAGAAATATTCTGATCTCGTCCTCCGTTTACTTTGTAAGCACATTCAAAGGGAAATGCCTTTGTACCTTGAAAATTTATTGTCACATACGCGACGGATATATAGAATCTTTTCGAGCAATTTTGCAATCGCGTTATACAGTGTTCTGCGCATATTTCGCGCATTAAGAAATATTCACGGTAATTTCCGTCGTAGCTCTCGCGGGGCTATAATAAGAAATATTTACCCGCAGCAATCTTCATTGTACCTTTCGGAATTTGAACAGCGAGCGAGTAGCAAAAGTACGAGAAACGGAATATAAAAAACAAGAAAATGCAAGAACACGGTTGTTTCCATCGTCACAGCTCTTCCAAATAAAATATTTGGAAAAATATGAAAATAAAAGAAATACAGGAAATATTTGTTCACGGTGGTTTCCGTTGTGCTTGCGGATATCGAAAAATTTAAATAGCGAAACACAAGTGTCAAAAAAAATAAATGGCATTTATACACTGAATAAAACCGACAACATATAAATGCTAGAATAATTCCTCTCTCTATTTAGCTCTCGAAGAGAACACAGGCTGAATATAAAGTCACAAGCGTCAAATTCCAACGCCAACGTTTCACCTAGTGATCCCCCACTTCGTTCACTCGTCGTCGATTTACCATCACTTCAACTCTCTTCAACAGCCCTCGCCCGAATCGAATAAACCCAAAAGTGTGCGCGCATGCACGCGAGAATCCCCCGAAGTGATTATTAAAAATACGAATTTTCCTTCCATTGACACGTACCTGTGATGCGAGGCAGCCGGAGAGACGCGGTGTGTTGCACGTGACGTCTTCTCTGAATGCGGAAACCGGCCGAAGAGCGGAAACGAAGGCGCGTTGTGTGGATGTGCGTCGCGCACGTGGAACGGACACGTTGGCCTTCAATAACCTCGACGACAAGAGGGAAGGGGTGAGGAAGAGAGAGGGGGAGAGAGAGAGAGAGAGGACGCACGAGGTGGAACATAGACGAGAACGTCGCGCGTCCTACCTCAAGCACGTCTGACACGCGAATGAACACCCGCGAAGAACGATGTCGCGACGGGGGCCACCAGAGCAAGGGGAGGAAGCTAGCGAACGCGCAACAGACGCGAGAACCAGAGGACTGGTTGTGCACCGGTTGCAAACCCCGCCGTCTATACGACCCTCGTGATTCGCCGTTTCTCCTCGAGGCGAGGCCCGATTGGTCCACGAGTACGGCGACGCGTGCGAAACGGGTGGCCGGTTTTGCCTCCACGGTCGCTCGCTAATCGAACCATCGGCGAATTTCAGGGCTAGAGATGGGATCGAGTGCCTCACAAGTACCTTCGAATCTTTAGCCCAAGGTTTCAATGACAATGGTACTTCTGATGACTACTCTACTATCGTCGAATTAGTGAGAGAATTCGTTTCGAGTGTCTACTAGCAGAAGTGAAGATGACACTTTCAACTAAACACCGGCAAATAGAAATGGAATTGAGTATCTTATGAGTCTTTAGTCGTTGAGTAACTTCGGATCTTTAGTTGTTGGACACTCTTGATAAGTACTTGGAACTTTGCAAGTATTTCTAATGATACTTTATAGTCGGATTAATAAGAGGATTAGTTTCAGGAATATTTACAGAAATGAAGACTCTCGAACAAATTCGAATGCTGGTGAACAGAGATGGGATCGAGTATTTCATAAATACTTCGAATCTTTAGTCATTGGATAATCTAATTATAAGTATTTATAAATACTTGGAACTTTGTAAGTATTTTTTATGATAATGGTACTTTATAAAATCGAATTAATGAAAGGATTAACTTCGAATGTTTCACGGATATTTGCAGAAATGAAGATGATACTTTTATGTAGATTTGAACTTTTACTGGTGAACAGAGATGAGATTGAGTATCTCATAAGTAGTTTCAGTCGACTTTTAGTTGTCGAATATACCACTCAAAGAGAAAATTGGCAATATTAAAACTACTACTGCATAGTAATAAAAAACGATAAAAAAAGTTTCGACTCACTATTGTACTAACCCATTCCTCTGGTTTACTATGATAAATCTACTCATAATCATAAAATTAAGAAAATTTATTAACCTTTATTATACAATTAACTAAAAAAAGAAAAATTAAATTTACCTATTGTAAATGTGTTGTACTTGTATAAATCATATTATTCAATATTTAACTCGAATCAACTTTATCTCTAAAAGAGTGAGCTGGTCAGCGTTGACCATTGTCGCGTGAAAATCGCATAATAAAAAATACAAGAATTCTTCATTATACATTTGACGTACAGATACGAGAACTGAAAAAAAGGACGAATCTCATTTTAAACGAATTACAGTGAGTTACTCAAATAGCCAAATTAATTAACTCCACAAATTAAAAACCAGCATACAGCAACGATATCGCGAACATTATTTTTTAAATTGACTTTGAAACTAAGTAAAATTCCTGTAATGGACGAATCCGTGAAAGTAATTAATTTGTTTTCTGAAAACTGAAAGATTAACCTGCATAATGAAGTTACAATTGAACAGTTTTGTCTTCTGTGAATCTCGTGCGTAACTCGAACGCGATGCCTCTGCTATTGTGTGAAATTCTGATTTGCAAAATTCAAAGTATTTTCGAATATTCGTCGAAACTTCACTGGTCACGAGTATAAAACATGAATACACTCGCGCGAGTGTGCTCATTTCTATTTTCAAGTAACATTCGAAACGAAATGAAATGAAACTTGACTCGGATCTCACAACTATACGTATTGCACTTGATCCCATCCCTATTCACAACAGCTGACGCTGTTTCGCGATGATACGTAGGTTACGATAACGGTACCGAAGAACGCTAGTTTCCAACAGTGGTCCAGGCTAACCATGATTGATGTCCGGGGTCTAGACGACCGCGATCTCGCGTTGCGTGAATTCAACGTCGCTTCCACCGGGTGTATTGAAAATTCAATGGGAATTTGGAACGGTTGAATTTTCGGGTATTGGAGCGAACAGTGTTGAACATAGTATAGTAAATTTACATTACAACTTGGTTGTACTCTTTGTAATGTGTTCTACGAAAGTATGCGAAATAATTGCCAGTAGGTATACTATTCGTTGTTAAATATTCAATTTTTAATTAACGAAAAAATTGGAGTAACCAGCTGACGCGATGTCAGTTTGATTATCCTGCGCGCAGAATTTAATAAATAGGAAGCTTTGTTCAAAGAAATATTTTATCTGTTTAACCATGTCTTGTTTTATGGTTAATATGGGAGAGGAAAACATTAGTGAATAGTAAATAATTTAATAGTCTTATCTCGAGCACGTCGGTTGCTACGCGAAATATTTCACTTTTATCAAACATTATGTTACGATAAAACGTACGATGAAAGCGGATTTTTCATTTTATAATTATGTTAGCTGGTTCATTTAAAACTGTTTGTCCTAACGACATTCGTTTTATTTATTCTAAATTATTTATAGGAATAGAAACACCAGCGTTATAGTCGACGTATTGATCTAGAAGATGTATTGAATACAACGAAAAAAGGTTAACGAATGGTAGATGTTTTCATTTTCACGTATTGAATAATTATGAGCGATTGTACTGCGCGAATTTCATCAAGGTACGATTTAACATCGTGAATATTTTAAAATCAATTTCACTTTCGAATGGAAAACGCTGTTTAACGTGGTCAATATTACGTTTGAAAAAAAAATTGAACATCCATTGGTGTACGCTGGAAATAAAATTTTCCAAACAGTATTTAATTGGTCGTATTATTATTTTAAAACTTTCTGAATGAAACAAGTACAGTGATTGTATCACACTTCCTATCGTCACAGACTTATTTCTCTCTTTTCTCTCTCTCTCTCTTTTTAGAGATAAGCTACTTCCTACAAACAACCAACACAGATTCGAGGAGTTTTGAACGCAGTCTAGGTGAACGATACAGTGTGAAGTTTCTTCATGAAGTAAGCCGCGGATTTGCGAACTCTAGAAACCACTGGCGTACCACGGAGAACCATAGCAATCGTGTCAACTAGTAATTTCCAGTAACCTAAATTCCATTGGTTTTCATAACAAGCAGGAAAACCATGACACATCGCAATTTCTATCAGCTGTTCAAACACACGTTCGAGACACTTTCTCAACCCGCCCAGACTTTCGTCCGCTTGCAAAAGAATACTTGAGAATTTGGTCGATATACTATAAATTTCTTTCGAATATTATGTAAAGATGAAATTAATCATACAGAATAACGTTGGGAAAAAAAAAACAATACCGTCTTTCATACCTCGTTAGCGGAGTACAGATTTATTTCATTCGTTAATATTATTACATAACTCTCAGATTGTGTTGATGAAATTATTCTCGTTTAACTTATTGTGCAATATTATTATTGAAACTGGCTTTTACCACTGCGGCTCATTCTGTAATCCAAAAATCCGGGAACTATCATAAGTAAATTAATTAGTAGTACTGTAATGATATATACATTGCTAGATTATAGCAGTAAGGCAATGAAAATTTTCAAAATCAAGCTACACGATGTTTATGGAAGGTCGAAGCGATATAAAGAGAT